GCATTCCTGGCTCCCATTATTTCCAATGGGTCTTCCAGCGTCTCCCATTGTTTCCAATGGGCAATCCTGTCCTTCCTTTTAGTAGATCCCTTCCCCGACCTCCCCGGCGGAGGATTTTTTTCCATTTCCAAAATTCAGAGCCTCCCTTTCAGGCCCTGCCAGGCAGGGGGCTGACAAAGGAAAAAAACATCCGTCAGAAGATCCCCCTTTTAAAACGATTGAGCCAAGGAGGTGATGAGATGACGACTTACCTGCGAGTAAACCTTCTCGGGATCCGGCTGCCTGTTGCCTGTCCGAAAGCCCTTCGCTGGGAAAAGGTTCCCTAGTCCCTGCCCTTCCCATCGACAGCAACGCCCCGACCCCGCTGGGCTGGACTTCCCGGCCTGGCGCCCTGTAATCATGGCCGGCTCGCCCGCTAGGCGAACTAGGCGCTCGCCTAGGGCGGGCCGGCCCTCAGGGGCGCCAAACTGCGCCCCGCTGCCCCAACCCCCCGCCACCGCCGCCCTAACCCAGCGCCCGCCCCTCTCGCTCGCGTGCTCTCTCGGCGAGGGAGTGAAGCAGGGGAGGAAGGAAGGCGGCGAGGAGGCAGAGGGCGCCAAGGTGGGCGGGGCCCTGCTCTCCTGGCGACACCCTTCCGCGCCCTCCTCGTGACGCTTCTCCCCTCCTAGTTCTCCCTCCGCTAGGCTTAGGGGCGCCTCGGCCGGTGAGGCGGGAGCGCCCAGGGGCCCGCTAGGCAGCCCCCCCGCGCCCTCTCCCCCTTGGGCTGCGTCACCCTCCTCTGCTGCTCAGGTCTCGCTCGTTCGAGGGAGGGAGGGAGCGCTCTGATTGCAGGAGAAGCTACCATGCTCCGCTTGCAGGCTGATGTCGATTTTGACACTGGAGATAAGGAGGAGTTTGCCGAGTTGCTTTGGCTGCCGGCAGGTTGGCCGGCAGCGTGCTGGGTCCTAGCGCTCGCCCATTGGCGCCTTCATACAAAGCACGAGGCGCGCGGCGCGCCGAACGGAGGGAAGGGGAGGTGGGGACGGGAGAGGAGGGGCAATTTAAACAACAACAACAACAGAAAGTGGGGAGAAGGGAGGTCGAGAGGGCCAAGAGATAAGAGCACCGAGGGCCAGGCAGGGCTATTGGATCAAATGCATCTTTTCTCTCTCTCTCTCTTTTTTAAAATCAGCCTTATCCAGAAAGTGACCCAGGGGCAGAGATGGTCTCATCAGCTCCAGGGCTGGCTCCAGGCGTTTTTGTGCAAGGTTTCCCCTCCCCTTGACTTTCCATCCACCCACGTCAGCTGCTTTGCAGAAATCCCTCTCGCCCTTTCCACACCCTTTCCACACACACCCTTCTCTACTTGGTGGGGGCGGGGAAGGCCATAACTGGCATCGATCAGGGGTTGAGACATTTCGTTCTTCCTGCCAGGGCGCCGAATTTCCAAGCTGACTGGAAAGACCCTCCCCTCCTCTCTCTGTCCGTCCCCCCCCTTTGCAAAGGCTGCGGCTTATGTGTGTGCCTTTCTGCAGCTCCCCTGGAAGCAGTGTTCCCTCTAAGCTGAGTAAGTGTGTGCTGGCCCACAGTTTTTTAGCCTCCAGCTCACACATTTTTGTCTCGGCTCAGGAAGGGACGGTTCCAGAGCAAACTGATTTATGTGGCGGCGGAGGGTTGGCAACACCCGTAATAGGTGGACGCGAGGGGGGGGCGCCAGTAGGTAGCCCCGCCTAGGGCACAAAAACGCCTGGAGCCGGCCCTGCCTGTAATGTTGCTCAGTGGGATTGCTCTGGAGTCACTCCGCAGCGGGGTGGCGCTCCCGGGGGAATCCCAGGCTGTTGGTCCCTCTCGGAGAAGGGGGAGGTTGAGTGGGGGGGAAAAAGAGGAAACCAAACTGCAGCGAGCTCACGTCCAGCAACCCGAAGCAATTATAGAATTTCCGGGCTGTCTGGCCGTGGTCTTGGCATTGTAGGAGGACCTGCTGCCGCCCTTTCGCCAGCAGCTGGGACCGGCATCCTCAGAGGCAGAACACAGAAAGATGGAGGACTCTCTGTGTCAGCGTGAAAAGAAAAATGGTAGGCAGGAAGTACTCAGGAAGGTGGGGCCGGGCTGAGTCATTCTCTTCGAGGAGCTCCCCAGGCTGTGACATGCTAATGGAGGAGGCTTTCCTGAGGAGGTTCTTTTGCATATGGATTGGCTGTTGACATTCTGATCTTCCCTGTAGCGCTGTTGTGAGATGTAGAGCAGGTCTGACCAGAATCCTCCTCCAGGTCTCTTCGGTGCCGCTGGCTTCCTCCCAGGTAAGTGGCTTTGGGATTGCTTTGGAAATCAGGGTTCTTGTAACATCAGAGCATAAGAGAATGCGTGTTGGAACAGGCCAGTGGCCCATCCAGCCAAACTCTCTGTGTCACACAGTGCCCAAAACCCAGGTGCCCTCAGGAGGTCCAACAGTGGGGGCAGAACCCCCCAAGCCCCCCCCCTGTTGCCCCCCAAGGACCAAGAAGACAGAGCATCACTGCCCCAGATATAAGAACATGAGAAGCCATGTTGGTTCAGGCCAATGGCCCATCCAGTCCAACACTCTGTGTCACACAGTGGCCAAACCCCAGGTGCCATCAGGAGGTCCACCAGTGGGGCCAGAACTCCAGAAGCCACCCCCCACTGTTGCCCCCCAAGGTCCAAGAAGACAGAGCATCCCTGCCCCAGACATAAGAACATAAAAGAAGCCACATTGGGGTAGGGCCAATGGCCCATCCAGTCAGACACTCAGTGTCACACAGTGCCCAAAACCCAGGTGCCCTCAGGAGGTCCAACAGTGGGGGCAGAACCCCCCAAGCCCCCCCCCTGTTGCCCCCCCCCCCCAGCACCAAGAAGGCAGAGCATCACTGCTCCAGAGTCTTCCATCGATACCTTGTGGCTGATAGCCACTGATGGACCTCTGCTCCATGTTTATCTAATCCCCTCTTGAAGCTGTCTATGCTTGTAGCTGCCACCACTTCCATCCATTAATTACTCTGGTGGTGAAGATGGTACTTCTTCATTGCAAGAGTAATTAACACACCGAAGTGTTGGCAGCTACAAGCATAGACAGCTTCAAGAGGTACTTGAAGCCAGTTTGATGTGGTGGTTAAGAGTACAGACTCTAATCTGGTAGAACCGGGTTTGATTCCCCACTCCTCCACATGCAGCTGCTGGGGTGACCTTGGGTCAGTCACAGTTCTCTCCGAACAGGTCTCGAAAGAGCTCTCTGCTGCCACCACCAGGCCAAGAGCCAGAGGTGCGTCTGACTGGTAGCCTGCTCTCCAGAACCTTTAGGAAACTTTTCTCCAAATTAAGAAACACTCGCCCTCCCCCAGACCTCCATGGAAGCAGGAATCCTTGGGAATCAAACAGGCTAGAAATATTCCCAGCAGCCCATGAACGGTTTTGTACGTGATAGCAAGTACCCGAAATGGAGCTCAGAAACTGAATGGGCAGCCAATGGAGTGACTGTTGCCTGGGAGTAAGATGCATGTTCCTACTAGTAAAGGTAAAGCTTCCCTTGCTCGAAAGCCAGTTGAATCCAACATCTACGTTTCAAAGCTGAAGAGCCAGCGCTGTCCGAAGACGTTTCCGTGGTCATGTGGCCAGCATGACTAAACACCAAGGCGCACTGAACGCTGTTACCTTCCCACCGAAGCGGTCCCTATTTATCACAATTTCTTGCTTTCGAACGGCTAGGTTGGCAGGAGCTGGAACTAGAGACAGGAGCTCACTCCGTCATGCGGCACACTCGGGTCTTGAACTGCTGAACTACTGACCTTCCACAGCCTGCAGTTCAGCGTCTTAACCACTTGAGCCACCGCAGCTCCATGTTCCTACTAGCTCCCAGTAATAGCCAAGGCAAGGCATTCTGCACCAACTAGAATCTCTGAGCTGATTTTGAAGGGAGCCCGATGTCGAGTGCATTGTAGTGGTCTAGCCTGGAAGTTACCAATGGGATGGATCCAGGTGGCCAGATGAGCTTAAGCAAAGCATAAGTATTAGCATGACACATTAAGAGATGCAAAAACTCCACACTGGGGTCCCAGTTTCGCGAAGCTATACGCAGTATAATAATTGATTCAAGTAACTTGGTGACTCATTCAGTACAGGGCGGCCCTTTTGCCTGTGGAGAAAAGCCCTCTTGAATAATTCAGTTTTGCAGAGCTCTGCGAAGTGGGACTCACGAGAGTGTCTAAGATCTCAGGCCTCCCCAACTTGCATCTTGTCAGGGCTGATTTCCCATTTTCCCCCCTTTCAGCCATTTGACCCACACCAGTCTGTTTCTATCCCTTTGGGAGAGGCTTAATGGGATGTTAGCTCTCCGTGCCCATTTCCAGACACGAAGCCTCTGTGAAAGGCACGAGACGTTTTTCTCCCGGCCAGATGTCAACCTCCATGATATCTTCCAGGTAGAACAAATTTAAGAGTCCAGTGGCACCTTGAAGACCAACAGAGGACTCCTGGCTTATCTAGTACGAGTCTGATGTTCCCTCTAAGCTATGGAGTCTTATGAGCAAAAATTCTACCTTGTGAGCTAGTGGCATTAAAGTTGTGAGCCAGCGATTTGGCTACTGCATAACTTAGTTTGCTCTGGAGCCCTCCTTCCTGAGCAAAGACAAACATGTGTGAGTTGGAGGCTAAAAAACTGTGAGCTAGCTCACACTAACTCAGCTTAGAGGGAACACTGTACAGCCCCACGCATGATGATAGAAAATACGGGAGATAAGAACCTAAGAGATGCCAATGTCGGATCAGGCCAAAGGCCCATCCAGTCCAACACTCTGTATCACACAGTGGCCAGAAATACCAGTGCCATCAGGAGGTCCACCAGTGGGGCCAGGACATTAGAAGCCATCCCACTGTTGACCCCCCCAAGCACCAAGAAGACAGATCATCACTTGCCCCAGAGTCCCTATCTATACCTTGTGGCTAATAGCCACTGATGGACCTCTGCTCCATATGCTTATCTAATTCCCTTTGGAAGCCGTCCATGCTTGTAGCCGCCACCACTTCCTGTGGCAGTGAATTCCATGTGCTAATCACTCTTTGGGTGAAGAAGTACTTCCTCTTATCCGTTCTAACCCGACCGCTCTGCAGTTTCATGGAGTGCCCACGAGTTCTTGTATTGTGAGAAAGGGAGAAAAGTACCTCTTTCTCGACCTGCTCTTTCCCATGCATAATCTTATAAACCTCGATCATGTCACCCCTCAGTCGTCGGGGAGATGACCCCTCCCCCAACCCCAGAGAGTTCAACAATCAGAGGAGGGACCACCCACGTCCGGCCAGCCTGGCCTTCCCTTTTATTTTATAAGATCAAACGCATAAGGGAATCAGTTACGAACCGCCCTCTCGCTGTGAATTTCAAGAAACCAGACAACCCACATGCGAGGAACATTTA